GGAACTTCTGGCGTGTTCTCTTCCGCCATTTCTTCTTCTTTCTTCTTCTCTTTTGCTTTCATTTCCTTTTCTGGCGTGTTCTCTTCCGCCATTTCTTCTTCTTTCTTCTTCTCTTTTTTCTTGCTTTTTCTTTTCTTCTTTCACTTTGTTGGCTTTCTTCCTCACACTTCTTTTCTTGAGGAAAACGGCTGCGGCACACATGGTTCTCAGCTTCCAGCACAAACTCGCAACCACAATCATAAGCATAATGCGCATAGCAAAGCTCAGTCCTTGGTCTTCTTCAGCTTCTTCAACGCTACATGCTTCTCCCATGGCAACCATCACTGCCATAGTCACAGCTTGGATAGTCTTCTTCAATCTTCCTTCATCCACACTTCTTCTTCCATTTGTTCTTCTTACTTCAGCTTCTTCAACTTCAGGCCCTTCGGCCATGTCCAGGTACTCGCCAATGTACCCCTATTGTCGTCTTGTCCCTTGTCAAACTCTTCGTTCCCAGATCAGCTGGGTTGTCTTTTCCTTTGATCGCTTTGATCACAAGTCTTTCAATTTTTGTATAATAGATGTCCAAGTGTCGGGCCTTCCCGAGTCCTTTTCTTGCTATCAATTGTCTTGAACTACTTAAATCTGAATACAGAATCATTTTTGGCTCTTGTCCCAAGACGCTTGTCAACAATCCCTTCAAGAATACAGCTTCTGACAAGATAGATGTAGCTGCAATCGTCTCGGCTTCACATGAACTCAAAGCTACACACTGTCTTTTAAATTGAACATGAATCAGATTGCCCTTCAGCATGATGGCTCGGCAAGAAACACTTTGTCTGTTCTCAGATTCTCTCTGTCTGCTGCCCAATCTGAATCCGAGATCACTTCTAGGACAGACTGTTGCTCTTGCGGATTCCTTTCATTGAATCCGCGTCTTTCATGACTTCTCTCTGTCAAGAAACTTTCCCGGAAAACTATTCTTGTGAATTAGCGCCACATCTGACGTTCCTTTCAGATACTTTCCAACTTGCCTTAGAATTTCCACGTCGCTTTGTGTTGGACCTGCCAACTTCGTTCTCAGTTTCTTCCGCATGTACATGGTGTCTGGTCTCTCGGGCGTAGTAATTAACCCGACACCTTTCCTGAAGATGTGGTGTTCTTCCGCACTCAGCGGGGTCATTCCATTCTTCTGTGCTTGAAAAGATCTTCCATTGGTCCACTGGGCACGGTATCTTCTCCGGATACGCTCGCTCTCAACATCACCCTCATTGGTTGGCCTGAATCCTCTCTTCAGAAAACTTACTGTTCCTTCTGATTCGTCCATAAGTGCTTCGACCTTGGTCTTCAATCCTTTTCGATTCAGATAAACCACCCATCTTTGAAAGTCTTCTGACGCAAGCAGTTCCACGTCGTCCACATGTGCCAACACGGTGTGTCCTTGCTTGGTCCCTTCGGGCCTTTGATAGAACAGCGCAGGTAGACCTTCGTCTGGTTTCAATCCAAACTCTTCAAGAAATCCTTGAAAACTTGTTGAACCATGCACTTGGTCCAATTCTTTGGCCTCGGAGTCAGAATCCCAGTTCATAATATAATTCCATCAACTTCAACCACAGTTGGTTCATCTTGCTCTACCATCAGATATGCATCTCCAACATCTATACTTCCAAGTGAGCACTCGATGCCTTCGCCGACTTGGCCAATCCACTCTCTGATTCCACTGATTCGGGAGGAAAGGCTTCCTTTCGGACTTCCTTGGACTTTTCGGCCTGCGCTGCTAGCACCACCGCCGTCGTTTTTCCATCGATGGTGATTGGATAAGTCTTCTTGCACATGGGGAAAAGGCGGCAGCTGTAGAACGGCTCGCCCGTGACTCGATTGCTCCTCTGCAGCATCTCCACCTTGCATTTCGGGCACTTCGGAACCAAAGGACCGGTGCTGGCATATCCTTTCTCCTGGTGCACTGTGGTTCCAGTCAGGGCCTGCTCTTCCTTCAAGTCCTCGATCCACATCTCCAGTTCTAGGATGATTTGCGAGCGGGTCCACTCCCGCCAGTGCCCATCCGCCTGGCGCATGTAGTAGGGAACGACTTTCTCCTAACACAACAACGCCTTCAACGTTTCGAGAATGCCTCGTTTCCATCCGCTGGGAAGCGGTCCCGCTTCCTTCGGAGGTTTGATCGTGCGGTAGATCTCCTTGATGTGGTCGAGGTTCATCGTCATGAGCGTTGCAGCATCCAAGTCCGTATGCTGCAAGATGCGATCGATGTATTCCTCCTTCCGCTTGGGCGCAAGCAATTGTCCCTGCTTTCCCACACGCGCTTCCTTTGAACTCACCTTGTCCGGAGAGGTTGCCATGGCTACCTGTATCACATAACTGATCTTGGACACTACGGCTATTACTCTTAGCTTGTTGAGCATCAGGGACCGCATCATCACAACCCCCCATGTACACGAGCGGCTCCGGGTCAAGTGAACATGGGTGATCATGCGCCCTTCCTGTCCCTGTCCTGAGGAGCCGTTGTCCAATCCACTCTGTCATGCCACCCACCGGGAAGATCATGTAGTATGTGAAACCCAACATGTCCCGTGGATGTCGTTACCAGCGTCGTGGAGAACCCCAAGTGCGCGAACTGCACTGTCCCTTCCATAAGGTTCATGTGCTCTACCACACTGGCCCTAATCATGACAAGGCGGTCGCAATTGGAAATGCACAGTGGAATCATCACCGCCTGCGTCGAGTACACCTTCGGCCCTCCGCCGAATCTGAAGGGCTCCTTCTCTGATATGAAATGATATGGCATACCATGTTTGCCAAGCTCTCGAAGATGCCCTTCCATCCATCGTCTGCCCGCCACCGTCTTGGCGCAGCAGGTGTCTGATAGACCCATACCGACACTTTCTTCACGCAAGCACTGATTCGCCAAGCCAGTGCCGTGAACCAGGAACGCATCATCGTCCTGCTGGTCATCCTCCTCTTCGGAGCTAGCCTGGCCAACCACACATGCCGCATGATCCTCCTCAACTGTGTCATTTTCGGTCATGAAGGTACCCTTTTCCTTCTTGTTCTTCGAGGCACTCACGGTCGCTATACTGGCAACTTTAGCAGAAAGAGTTCAAGTAGTCAACGAAAAAGGTAGTAGCCGTCGTGGTCGGCGTACTGATTTGGGCAGCATCGGCAATTGGCTGCTCCATCCTTGGAGCCTCCCTTTCCATCTTTTCCATACTTGCCTTTACCTTTGCCCTCCTTTCCTTTCTTTCCTTTACCCTTGGCTGCAAAGGACTCCTCGGCCAGGCGTCTGGATTGTCTTCTGCCTTTCCGTTTCTTGAAGAAGCGTCTTTCTCCGGATCCTCTGCCACCTTTTCCTTTGCCTTTGAAGCGGCCCTTGAAACCACGCTTCATCTCCCTTCCTTGGAAACATCTCTAAAACGACGAGTAGCTCTCCTCGTCGTAGACCCAGAAGGCATATTCATCTGCTTCAAGGAAATATTCTGCGCCATCCTCTTCATCCTCGACCCAATATAACCCTCTTGATTGTCCAGGTAGCCCTCTTCGATCACGAGAAAGGTTTCGCGGCCACCGTGGCCTGAGGGAGCGAAGAGAGGATTATCGACGGAAGTATTGGTCGTGCAGAAGATCTCCAGGTAGACCTCCTCGCGAAGCTCGTTCAGACGGTAGTCAGCCAGCACGCGGTTCCGATGAGCCATCAATGAAGTCAGCACCTGCGGCTGATCTTGAGTAAGGTCGGACAGGGAGACAAAAATGAGCGCAACGAGGTTGGCAGTGATCGGAATGGTCCGTGCATGCTGATCTCTGAGCCTTTCATTGGCTCTGTCCATCGCCTCTTCGTCGGTAAGGCCTTCTTGTTCTTCTGCTGGTAGTCCTGCTACATAGGGCTCGGACCTCTGCATTCACAGGGTCCGTGATCGGCAGATAGGCGTCGTTCCACACTTCCTGCATCCTTTGGACTGTGACTTGAAACCTGGTAATCCAACGAAGCATGTCTCCATTGCCGCGGTGCCAGTTCATGAACTGCTGAAAGCAGTACAGAAACACACTGGTTGCGCCCTTCACAAAGAGTGGCCGCAGGAAACTCTTGAAGTACTTCACTCCCTTGTTCGGGTCCTTCAGGCGATCTCTGTCCAGGGGCCGTTTGTGCATTGCTGCCTCACCTTCTAACCGATTTCTCAATGCTGGTCCACGCTTGTCGCCATCTAGCTCAGTGATATCACACCAGTCACCGATCGTATCCCCGTAGGCGAACCACCTGCTTCGCCTGTCATAAGACGGCGGTACCTTGGTGGTCACCTGCTGGAAAGCTGAAAGTCGTTGTAACTCTTGGAGATGCCGGTAATTCGTCACATAAGATTCGTTCCGTGTGGGAGGTAACCATCATCTCCATCGCCATGCTCAAAAGTCATTGCTGCACAGATGCTAGCCATTGCGCTGTCCTTGTTCTTCCGGTTCTCTTCACTTGAGCGAAGTATACCGGAGAACTTAAGCTAAGTGAAGCACACCGGGTATTCCCGGAAGCTCCGCTACCACCTTGAGATTGTGACCTGGGCGTGTATCCCCTTGCAAAACGTATAGGAACACAGGCAACGCAGGTGTCTCTTTTTGCTACAGGCGCACAGCTGTAGTCTTGGTACTCTGCTACGCTAGAACCGTGAGCACAGGCATGGATACATGCAAGTGAGACGTGAGACTGTCGGCGCCCAGATGTGCAACATCTTGCGTTTCAGGGGCTGGGGGTGGGGGTGGGTGTGTGGGTTGGGTTGGGTGGGGTATGCTGTATGCGATGCTATGCGTGTCTGGCATGTAGAGGTCTAAGTACGTCGAAAAGTTTCACAAACAAACGACATACCAATAAACAGGCAAACAAGCAAACCAACATACCTACACAGTTCATAGAGACAAACAATGAAAGCACCCACGAGCATATATACATGTTACATACACACAGGAACTGACATACACACCGTGAAACTGCACTGTGTAAGCCTCCTGCGGAGGTGTGTGACACGGCCAGTGTGGCCCTCGAGGACGGCCAAGCACGTGCTGTCCACCATGTCCTGCGCATCTATAAGTGCCGGAGCCTTAAACGTAAACCCAGCCATGAATTCACAGTCTTGTTCCCTTTCACTGTTTGGGTGCTGACAGTCAATCATCGGTCTATAGCATCAGGTTCTCCAGCTATAACTTTAGAATTCCCAAAAGACCATAATTTTCAATGAAGGAATCACGCACTCACTACGTTCACTTGTACTCACCTCGATCATTCAATACACTAGGTCTTTTCTGGTAGGTCTTGACAGCTTCTTGACGGTTACAACTAAATCCAAATTCATCCTCGCTCGCCGCTGTCCCAAAAGCCTAAAATACAAAGCCCAATTAAACTAGGTAGAAAGTAAACTAAAGAATGCACACTTCTATTTCGTGTAGGAGACTGTATTTTGATGCTTTTTGCCTGTGGTCTACGCATCCCTGATCCCTAACTACACCCGCAACCACAACAGAGCCTGAGGCAGAAATCCCCGAGCCTACGTGATATCTGGGATCGAGTGGTGCTGTGAGGACGAGTATTAGTATGTCTACATGTGAGACATCTCATGCCCCGCCCCCCCCCCAGACACAAATCCGTCCGAAACTTTCGAGATACCACGAATGTAGGCCATGTTTGTTTTGAGGCTGTTTGGGAGAGGGACTGGGTCTCGAGTCTCGAGTTTGGCTGCGAGGGACTCAGACTCAACGCCGTTGCAAAGTCAGCAATGCAATCCGCCCGCTTTTTAGCAAGTTGACACTTGCTTGGAGCACTGTGTCATTGATAGAGTCTTAGGAATTACGACCATGGAAGACGGTCTTGCGCGACACAGCGATCCAGATTCAACCACTGCTTCAAGCGGGTCCCACATCCGGAGGGTCGCGTCATCTGAGCAGGTGATGCAGGTCTGCTGGTCGAAGTCCTCCGGCTGAACCATTCTTGTGAAGTTGGCAGGAAGCACAGCACAGAATTCGAAAAGCCAGGCGCTAAGGTTTAGTTTACCACCCCATGTCAGACGGCGTATGACAATAAATCGATCTACGTGCACAAGCAGTCCGCGACAACATCTCGCACCGCCAGCGTGTGACCCTCGAGCACGCCCAAACAGATGGAGTCGCGCACATCCCACACCTGAGATCTTGGCATCTGTCTCCTTCATTCATGATATCGGTATACATTTCATGTCCACCATTCTAGCATCTCTGAACTCTGCCCCTATGCGTTCATCCTGAACTCCAAGGGAGCGCCATGGACTGCTGCATAGAAGATGCTGGTTACTTATTATGTTCTCGGAGAAACTTGGGAGGCTTGCTATTATTGTTATTATCATTATTACTATTATCACTGTTGTTGTTACGAGTAGAATTTAAATTCAGTTCGCTACAGAAACCAATGGGTTGTAGAGCGGCCATTTGCTGAGATGTCAGGACCTTTGCATTATCGCCAACTCAAACGTCAAAAGATTTCTGCAGAAGCAAACCTACCTGTGGCACCGTCAATTACCCGACAACCTCAACCTCTCGTTGAGAGTAGGCACACGTGCAGTCTCGTCATCAGAGGCACTGACCGCTAAGCCCTGGCATCCAGGGGAAGACTGCAGAAACGCTTGTGCTAAAGCATAAACTAACCGGCCAGAGCAGATCAAACAAAACACTCGAGGAATGCAACAAAAATAATGTTGCTCGGGCGAACCAGAAACGTAAGATAAATAACACCAGTGCGACAATGCCTGAAACTCACATCGGATCAATGTAAGCTTAATGCCACCAGACATCGCTATCACCTTGCTACAGAATTCAGCTGTTGCCGGGGTCCCTGGAAGCCTTGCTTAGGACATCGATCGGGCTAACGGCCCGGTTGAGGGATTAGGGGGCGCAGAATTCCCTGTCGGTATTCTCGGGCGTGTTCAGCAAAACAAACCTGGAAAAGACCCCCAAAGCCCCTATTCTACGCACTGCGGCCCCAAGATGGAGGCATGTAGGGCTGGGAAACGCTGTGAAACTCATCCGGGATGTACACAGTAGACAATCAAGAAACACAGGAGGCCTTTGGGCATACTAAAGGCCTGCATTGTACAACCAGGAATTTCCAGGTTCGCAGTAATGCATAATGGGGTTTATGGTTTATAGTTTCCGGTGCAGAAGAATAATCCAAGAACCACTTCCGCTGCCAGTTCAGGAATTCGTGACAGCCCATGAGCTGCATTGTTTTGCGTGTAGGAAACCTGGAAAAGCAACGAGATTGCTGGCCAGAGACTCCAAAACCCGTTTATGATACATGAAGGTGTCTACCATGGTAATCTTCAAAATCTCCAGAACCAAGCCTTGGCTACACATATACATACATATATATATATATGTGTACAAGTACAAGCATTGCCATATGAAGGAATACTTGTTTTGTTACGGTTTATTGGAGTCTTTGGCTAGGCGCTGTAGTGTATCGATGCCCATGGCACCTTCTTCACGTCAAGGGCCACAGCATTGACCTGCCAGAGGCATCGCAAGCGACTCACGGTTTAGGGTTTCGCCGGTTAGTATGGGGTTCGCATAAGACTTCATAGTGGAAAGACTGCTTTCTGCTTGTTGAAACTCCGTTATTATCGCGGGGGAAGGGGGTTGACAAAGTTAGCGGCTCCGTTTATGGTGGTTGTTATCAGGAGGATCCGGCGACTTAGGATTCTATCATGTCTTATACTGGTGTTCTTGGCTTCCTCAGTTTTTTTAACACTGTATGCTCTAAGCTCCTTTGGGTGCAGCCTACAGAACAGCTTGGGAGTCCGTGGCTGGTACTACAAGAACCAGAAACCCTGAGGGTCAATCCTACCTGGCGTAAGCTAAGGCGTGACCAAAACGCAGGGCGAGATAACTCCTGTGCAGTTCTGTTCCATTCCTTCTTCACACGTGGGAAAAGCGCTGCCGCTACATGTGCATGTGCTTAAATATCTGCCTGTCTGTCTCTGTCTCTCTATCCGTGTCTCTGTCTCGGTCTCTGTCTCCGTCCCCGTCTGTCTGCATGTTTGTGCGGGTTGCTTTAGAAAGATTCCGCCAGTCGCATTCTGGCCGGCCTTGTCATCATGCCCGTCAAGCTTGCCAATGGAGGCGCGCGTTTTCTGCACAGGGGATGCGCAGACACAACGTGCAAACTGCGGCGCCAAACTTAGTAAGCGACAGTGTTCCCATATCTGTCTGTCAGACTTGGACTCCAGCTGCCGGTATCAACAATCAAGCAGAACATAGACAGACACAGATGTCGAGTGAAACACAGACATCGATATGGAAATAGAAGTCGGTATATGCATGCAGCAGCTGATGCTTGTACTCGTTTGTGTGTACATACAGAAGGATAGCTGCATAGATAGATAGATAGATAGATAGATGGATTCATGGATGTTTGATTGGTAGATCTCTGTCAGCATACACATTTCCGTGTACACATAGTGCACAGACAAACACAGCCGAGAGTCATACAGAGAAAGAAAGACAGACGGCAAGAGGGAGGCGAGAGAGAAAATCGAGAGTAAAGGAAAGAACGAGAGCGAGACAGAGATATTTCTATGCACACCCATCGATTCAGGAAGCCCTCATCCTAACTTATCCCCCACGACACTAAATCCCTCGACCCTACACACTACAACCCCCAAATCCCCGTTTAAATCCCCTAAACCCTAAACCCTAAATCCCTAAACCTTAAACCCCAAAACCCCAAAACCCAAACCCTAAATCCCAAACCCTAAATCCCTAAACCCGAAATCCCCTAAATCCTAAATCCCTGAACCCTAAACCCTAAAACCCCAAATCCCTCATCTGCCACAGGCCGGGCCAGATGCCAGAAGCAGAGCGATCCATCAGCAGCTCCGCTGAAGACCCGGTTCTTGTTGAAGTCAACGGCCTGGCTTCGTTTCGGGTTTAGGGCTTAGGGTTTAGGATTTAGGGTTCAGGGTTTAGGGTTAGGGGGATTTTGGCTTTGGCGGGCTTGGCGGGTTTTAAGGTGCATGGGGTTCCAGGGGTCCGTTTCGGACTTTTAGGTTGAGGCATTTCGGGGTTTGGGGGCTTCGGTTTTAAATATTTAGGGTTTGGAGGCGTAAGTTTGCCTATTTTTTGTCTAGGGTTTGGAGCTGTAAGTTTGCCTATTTTTTGTCTGCGGGTTTGGGGTTTAGGGTTCAGGATTTGGGTGTTAGGGAATTAATTAGCGGTTTAGGTGTTTCGGCATTTAGGATTCAGGTCCACATCCTGGCGAGATGAAAGGACAGTGTTTGGCGCATGTGGTCTGGGACGTGCCTGAGTAGGATACTTGTGACGAAGTGATTTCGAGGGTGGTGCAGGTTGTAACCCTGAGCTCTCGATCATTAAAGGGCACCGCCAACCCTACAAATGGAAGGGCCTGAATGACTAGAATAAGGTTTGGGGGGGTTCCTTATTACAATTTATAGTATCGTATACCCCCAAGCCCTATTCTAATTATTAAGGCCCCTTCATTAAATCAAGTCCCCCAAGCCCTACACCCGAAAGCTGGGCTCCTCGCCCTTGAACTTCCATCACCCGATGCTCAGGCCCGGACGAGAGTTGAACATCTGTGGGATGAAGGGTTTTCTTGGAGGTTGCAGATGCAAGTTCTTCCTTGCCACTTGCTTCCTAAATTGAAACTACTGCACCCTGTTTTGGTCCCGCGGGCAGTACGTCGTACATTCACACCGATCATGGTCGTCCTGACTTGCACGACAAGCTAACCATCACTCCTAGCACATAGACTACTATAGGCTTGCAGCCATGGCAGTTCCGAATCTGACAGAGCCGCCATAGCACATGCAAAAGTTAGCGGCCAAGCCAAGCGAAAGAGAGAGAACCCACACCCAAGCCAGCCCGGACGGCCCGCTACCCACCGTGAAACTCTGGCCGGCTCTGCCAAAGCTGTGATGCTGTCGCCGTGCTTGTCGAAGGTACCTCCAAGCGCATGAGCCGAGGGTTTTCCATCTCGGGATCTCGGCTTCAAAGACAGTATAATGTAATGTAGTGCAAGCACGTTTCTTTACATTAATTAAAACAGAACACAGGCACCACACTTTCTAAACGATAGAATATTGGAAATTCATAAATTCTATCATCTACAACTTTTTTATTGACATTTGCTGGAAATCTTATGGTTATCTTATCTTTCTAGTCGTTTATGTCTCATTTCCGTCATGTTCGCGCTGACTTTAATAAAGTGAACACGCCTACATTACACTACGCCACTACGCTGTTTCACTTAATTAAACTTTAGCGAACCACGAACGACCATTGATTGTAGGTGATAGAACTAGTTGTAGCAAATGAGGAGGGGACGAATGAAACCGCCAAAAAGCCCAACTAATTTTACTTAGAAGGATAAAGCGTAAACAAAGTGCACGGTTTTTACGTAAACCAGCTGTGCCTTTTTGTTGCGGTTAGTTCGTTGATAACTTCATTCCTATTTCGCTACACCCTTCAAGGTTTAGGGGAGTAGGCTGTCCTGAACCAGAGACCGTTAAAGCTCTGACGGGTGCACATCGACGAACATCATCAACTCCGAAGCATAAAACAGACTCGAGCCCTCAACAAACAACCGGAAATCTCGCTGCCGAAACGACATGCAGAATCTAAGCCTGGAGAGCCCAACCCTAAACCCGCCATCCGAGGCCCCGCCTTTCTGATAATCTAATAGGTTGCGCTGCCTAAAACCTTACTGTCAAACGCCTGAGCACTCATGCATGATGAACTGAACACCCTGCTGCAAGCTTGGAGGATTCATCAGCCTGGAACCTGGGCTTACGGGAGTGGGCAGTCGAAGTTCTACGGGGATCGATGCTTCATAGCCGCAAGTCTGGACTGGATCCGGCCTATGCATGTCAGCTCGGGGACGGTGACGTCCCAAACCTTTGCCAGCGAGGTTGGCTTGGAGCTTCATGCTGGACACGGGAACTCAAACACCTACACTCCAGGCTTCAATCCAGAAATCGAACTCCCTAAACCCTAAACCCTAAGATACCTTGTGGAGTAGGAGTTGGCCCTTGCAAGTAGGTGTACTTCCGCATCAGGGTCCGTTTCAAAAGCGATGCCTACCTCACCAAGCTGCTGCTTCAGTCTTTGAACTGTAAGCTTCAGGGCTGACCGCATTTTGGGTTTAGGGTTTAGGGGTTTAGGGTTTTGTCCGGATTATGCTACCTTCCCCAATTATGTGCTCAAAGAGCAGGTCCGTATATGCTCTGAGGGGTGAGGCAGTTGACGTCTATGCCACACAACCCGAAACTAAACCGTAAACCCAAGCATGGACGCAAAAAATCATACTTCAACGAGCTGACCACAAGCTGAAGGAATCGCGGATTCAACCCTAGACCGTCGTCCCAGGTTTCGGGGTGGGCTGGTTTCTCAACTGCAGGTTTAGGGTCTAGGCTTCATGCTTTCGAGCTTGGGGTATAGGATTAAGCGGCTTTAGGGCCGTGTAGGGTTTAGGGTTTAGGGATATATATATATATATTATAATATATAATAATAATAATAATATATATATATATACATATACACACCCTAAACCCTAAAGGTGTAGAGTTTAGGGTTGCTGCAAGGTCTATCGGATCAAAGGCGGCTCCGGACCTGGCCCAAATTCTCCTAGCAGATCCTGACCCAAGCTCAAATTCAACTCTACATCTGTAGCGTTGATGGAGGGTTCGAGGTTTTAGGCTAGGGGGGGCGGCTTAGCCCGAAAGCTTGTGAGCTCCAGACCCTTTTAGATTCCGACAAAAGTGCATCCGGGGGTTGGGCTCGTAATCTGCCGTCTTCGGCAGCGGTTACGGCGAAGCCGATGACCACATCAATGAAGACTTTGTTGATGCGTGCTGGACGCGAGGGCTGGGTGGTTGAGGTTAATGTTGGTGTATCTGCATGTATCTGCATATGTGTATGTACATATATACACATATGTGTATGTCTGTGTACACATGCATATGTATATCTGTACGCATATGTACAGTTATATGCATATACATATATATATATATAATATATACGCATGTGTTCGTACAGGTGTGTTGCCGCGGCTATATGTGCTAGGTATGCACGCATGTGCATATGAACGATGTTAACCTGTGTGATGTATCTGTATGCGTCTGTAAATGTGTGTGCGCATGTATGTGTGTATGTATGTATGTATGTATGTATGTATGTATGTATGTACGTATGTATGTATGCATGCATGTATGTATATGTAATGTTAATACATTGTAATGTCGTGTAATTTAATCCAGTGTGATGTAATGTAGTGTAGTGTAATGCAGTGTAATGTAATGTAGCGTAGTGTAATGTAATGTAATGTAGTGTAATGTAATGTAATGTACTGTAATATATAACTGAATTTACTGCAATTTGTGTCTGCTCATTTGCCTGGTTTTTGCATACTTTATCTGCATCACTGTGTGCATGTCTACCGGTCTGTGTGTCTGTCAGTCCGTCCGTCTGTGTCATTGTGGCTTCCGCACGTGTCTGGGTTTGGTCATGCAGGAACCGATGGGCAGCCCACACGTTACAGCTCAACTGCCGGAGCCAGATCATGGACATATGTTTGTTTTGTACTTTTGTACAGATATCGTATGTCGGCACCTTTTGAGGAGACAGTCCTTTGCATAATCAGCCAAAAGTTGTCCTGAACGACTATACTTTGGATTAGCTGTAAGTCTACCATCATGCTCTACTCGTGGCTTCAGGTTTTAAAAAGCTGTGTACCACAACATTCCCCTACCACAACTGCCAGCCCACGAGTCCCGCAATTCCAGATCGCAAACCGCCCTTCAACCCTCAATGGTCTAAAACCCGAGCCTTAGAATTAAACTCTGTTGGCCAGCACCAAAGAAGCTAACCCATAGGGCTCAAACTTTGACCGTAAGTAAGGCATATCACTGAGCCTAGGCCCTAGAGCCTTTTACCCTTAAGCCCTAACTGAACTCAGGACCCTGAACCCTAAACCCTATAAAATTATGAACCGCGTAACACCTAAACCCAAACTCTAAGCCCGGTTACCCCTTAACCCTAAGCCAAATAGGTCCTACTCTGCAAACCCACCCCTAAACCCCAAACCCTAAACTCCTAAGAACCACACAACCCTGAACCCCAAAACCCGAAACCCTAAACCCTGAAGCCCTAAACCCTGAACCCCTAAAGCCCTGAACCCAGGAAGCCTCCCGGGTGAGCGTCCACTGCACTGATGAGTGCCAGCTTCTTCGAATCCTTCTCTGGGAAATAGGGTTTAGTTAGGCTTATAGGGTTTAGGGTTTAGGGTTTGGGGTTTAGGGCTTAGGCTTTAGGGTTTAGGGCAGTAGCGTTTATTGGGCTTCATGATAGGGCTTATAATGTTCTAAGGCTTCTGGGGCTTGCAGGTTTTAAGGGGGGTTTAGGACTTGGAGCTCCTCGTGCCTGGGAGATGGTAAAGGCTCAGGAATGCAATGTGCTTGGCGCAGTTTCTTTTTCGGTTTTTAGGGTTTAGGGTTTTAGGGTTTAGGGTTTCGGTGTCATGACTTACATTGAGAACAAGGATTTCGGGTTGACGGCTTCGGAACCTAAGTAGGTTCAAAGGAGTCACACATCCGCAACCTCCAATCGCCTCTCTGCATTCCCTCAAATTCGCCGTCCCTGAGCACGACAGGTGGAAGCGAAACCAGATAAATGTGTAGCGCACAGAGAGAAAGAAAGAGAGAGAGAGAGAGACTGTGTGTATGCGCCTGGATGTTCGTGGGTTCGTAATGACATGAGCATGTGCAGGAGGTTCTTTCAGTTTTTGCGCGTCATCCGTTCAAAAGAATGCACAAACATACAGCAACGGCTTCAACAACAAGTAGAGGGAGACAGAGACAGACAGGCAGACAGACAGACAAACAGACTGACAGACCGACGGGCAGACGAATGACCAAATGTATCTACTTTCAATTCTTTATCTACTATATGTATGCAAGCGCAGAATATGAGCATAGCATAAAGCTGGTCTAGAAGGCTTTTGACTCGCAGAGTGTGTGATGATTTCCAGACCGGCGGTCCCACAGCAGGAGCTTCCCCTGTGCTGTGCCGCTGACAGCACCTCAGCAAAGGCTCTGCGCAACGAAACTCAGTACACTTCCAGAGCAACAGAACGGCATCACCCTGTCGAGCTTCCAACAAGTCTGACGACACTCTCAGACAAAAGGCACCCGAAGGCCATCTTAAGACCAAGATGCAGTACAAGGGCTGCGTCATAAGTGACTGGTGGGCCCCTCGTCCCTTAAGTAAACACAATAGCCTACAACAAAAGTCAAAACAATTAACTATTGAGAATAGCAGCCTGAATGACCAAGCAGGGATTTTGGCCACATCATACCGTGCATCACGTAGAAGTTGTAGCGGAGCTATCTTACTAAATACCCAGGCTTGCAAAGTGCTCCGTCCCGCTGCAGATCTGAAGCGTCTAAAGCTCAACACCCTGATCCCTAAACAGAGAGCCTAAAACTAGAAGCCAAGGTCCAACTAAGCTTGGAAACCGTAAACTTCCTAAACCCTCAATCCATAGACCCTAAACCCGTAAACCAAAACCCGTGGACCCTAAACCCCAAACGCCTAAGCCAAAACCCTAAACCCTGAACCCCTAAACCAAAACTCCAAACCCGTAACCCTAAACCAAAACCCCAAACCCTAAACAATAAACCCCTTCGGCCTTTCAAACCCCTCCTTCCTTGCTATAGGTACCGCACGCTGGTTTTCCCAATCCGCGGCAACGCAGATTTGCTGACCTCATCGCTCTTACCCTAACCCTCCAGGTGCCTACTATAGAGGGTACTAGAGCCCCTGGGGCCCAAGATAGTAGGTGCCTGGAGGGTTAGGGTTAGG